CTGAAGTAAGTCAGAGGAATTGTTTTTGTTTCTCTCCATTTGTTACAGAGTCCAGAAGATGAAGATGTAAATGTCTGTGCTGTAGACAGCTGTAGTTAGGAGAGGGGAATCCCTCACTACCAGAGATGTGTTTTGAGTACAGAATCTGTGTAGGGGATGGAAAAGAACTTTCTCTAGTGCAGAGTTCATGTGCAAATAAGGGATGAGCTTGGTTTCCTCTGATTTAAGGACAGAGCACTTCCAGCACTGAAGATCGCCCTGCACAGTGCAGGACTTCTGCTGCACATAATGACTGGCCTGGGAGGAGAAGAGGAGACTCTCTTCAGTACAGAATGGCTGCACCAGTTAACTCACGTTTTTAAATGTCCAGTGCTGAACTGAGCTTGAAAACAGACACCTATCAAGCTCTGACGCAGAGTATCCATCAGTTCGGTCTTAGATGTGAGCTCAGACATTCAGCTCAGCTCAGGGATCTGTGCCAGCTGACAGCAGCCTACTGTAAAACCCGGACCCAGTCACACACTGACTAGCCTAAATTGTCCAGGAGTCACCAATTCTTGTTACTGCCCTCTTAAAAGCTGTTACCTTTCCTTTCTCCTGTAGTCACGTGAGAAGTCACAGCATGAAGTTAGTTGTGAAGCTGTCTTGTTTAATGGCCCTGAAATGTTAATTTTGAGTGTTAACATAAAGGACAGATTAAACACAAACAAAAAAAACCCCAAGCAAACAGAAAACCACCTTCCTTTAGAGCAGTTTCTGATGGTGCTGTCATTAGAAACTGAGGAAGGTCAGACAGGAGTGGAGTGTTGTTTCCAGCTCACTGTCCCCAGTACGTTTTTGCTCAAGCAGAAGCAGGGACACGCTGATGCTTTATAAAGGGTATTTTTGAGACAGAAAACACATCTGAGATATTGTTAAAGATCAGTCAATACATTTGCCTCTTTTAAGTTGCACAGGTCAATATCTGCATGAGTTATTGCGGTGAGAGTGCAGGTTTCATATCGTGCTGCCAGAAATGGCCTTCACTTCACATTACAAAACCATAAGCCTCTATTTCCGTACACTGCTGCCTCCGCCAGCCTATGTCAGCTCAGTCTCGCTGCTTGGCATTTAGGTGGTGTTGAATGAATCCTGATGACATACAGTCTTCCTAAACAGGAGGCATACAGAGCTGGCGTGGGCGTAGCATACGGTGATATAAATAGTATCAGTGGCCACTTTTTTTAATCCTCTAAGGGTTTGAACTGAACCTCTGAGAAGATCTAGGGCTGTCAGGCACCTTTTGACTTCACTCTGGTCCAGAATGGGCAGGGGCAGTTGTCACAGACATATAAGGAGCAGACCGGAGAAGTCTGCCAGAAGAAAGAAGGTTTTCTCGTGGTTTAACCATCACATCCCTGTAGCAGTGAGATCCTGTGGACACAGGCAGCTGCCCTCCCTTACTTTACAGCTTAGGTAGGAACTCAGGCATATGCTTTCTCTTTTGAGGGAAACATAAGGTACAGGCTTCCCAGGGTTATAACCATGGTCGCACCTGGTTGAGCATCAGAGGTTACATTATCAATTTCAGGAATCCCCAGCCAACTTTCCACAGGGAAAGTAGTAGTGCTAGACAGGTGCTTTTCAGAAGGGCAGAGAGAAAGGCATCTATCTGAGCAGCTGTTGTCTTCTATTAAGCCAAAACAGGTGTGGAGGAAAAGTCCAGGCTAAAGAATTTTTGCCTTGTCACGGGGGCTGTCTGTTGTGTCATTTGAAACTGCACCAAGTTTCTTCCAAGTGCTGAGTTTGTAAGCAAGAGGATAGTGCTTGTGATCAAAGAAGAGAAGAACAAGATGCTGAGGGAAGGGCCAGTAACATCAGAAAATTAATCATTATAAGTCAGTGGAGAAATATGCTTTAGCCGAGCAATTAATTGTAACCGATTGCTGTCTTTGATTTTTCTGAAATAGCAAGACATTCTGAAATGCTTTGGGCTGGTTATAGGTCAGTATCATCAAAAAACAAGCATGTGCAAAATCTTTTTCACCAATGTATTTTGTTCCTCTGTTGATTACGGTACTTTGAACACTCAGGAAAGGCCGAATGCTAAATACAATGACCTCACTTACCATTTTCCAGGAAAAATACTGAACATCCACCCGTCTCTACTGCCCTCTTTTAAGGGAGCAAATGCCCACAAATTGGTGTTAGAAGCTGGAGTCCGAGTCACAGGCTGTACTGTACACTTTGTAGCTGTAAGTACTTCCTTCTCCCTCACTTTCACTTTGTTATTTGTTAGTCTTAAGGTTTTGACCTCAGAGCTTGCATGGAACATCCTTACACCCTCACCTTTGATTTGCCTTTCCTCCTTTGTTCATTCATAACATCATTAGGCAATGTAGTGCTTTAGTGTGCTGTCCCTGGAGAAGGAACTGGAAATGAATAGTCTATACAGGAGTTTAAGCTGGAAATGAATAGTCTATACAGGAGTTTAAGCTGGAAATGAATAGTCTATACAGGAGTTTAAGCTTTACCTAAGTTAGCTTCTTCCCTAAGCATCCCACTGCAGCCTTCCACCAGTTGTGGTGGGGGTACTAGTTCATATAAGGCCTTGGCTAGCCCAAAATCTTTATTACTACACTTCTTAGATGTTATCATACAACCTTCCTTAATTGTTGCTTCCAAGAAAAAAAAAAAAAGCAACACTGGAAATGGCACCAGAAGCTTAGATTTGTTAAGAAGTAATCCATTGTTTGTGGGACCAGAGGAGATACTTGGCAATTTATGTAAGTCAAAAAATAAGAAAAGAAAAGCCAGAGATCTCTCAACTTGGAAGATGCACATTTTTATCAGTTCACGGAGCATTTTTTTCCATCTTGTTCAGTTCTCAGGGTTGACAGTAACTAGTCCGCCCTCCTCTACTGCATTCTTGAGATTATCCTCCCCTTTTCCACTGCTCCTGAAATCTCTTCTCATGATTTTTGCTTTCTCTTGGAAAAAGAGACAAAAACTCTTTTTCCAGACAGAAAGAAAAATTGCATTCCTTTCCCCAGGATATGACTTCGGGTTTCTTCTCTGTGTGGCAATGTCCTGAGAAACAATAACTGAACAGCAGGGATCTGCCTCATTAATATGCAAAAGAAAGCTCTGCCGGGTCCTCTAGTCCCACTCTGTGCCAAGGCTTGGCTAATTCCCTCTTCTGAATTGAAATGTCATCATTTTGTCCAATTTAGCCCATCATGTCCCCAGTTAACATGGCTTTTGTTGTTTTCTGTAGCAGAAATGTTCCTCACTGCTGTTCTGCCTGCTGCTTCTTTTACTTTGAACCCTACGCTGCTGTGAGTTCCTCACAGGCCAGCGTGAGTGCCGGCAGCTTTTCTGCACTCCTCACATGAGCCCAAATTCATGTTTGCTGTAATAACATAACGCTAAACAGATCCTGGAGGCAGCTGGATTGCATTCACTGTCGTACAGCTGGGCCCCCCTCTCTCCTCTTCCAGCCATACAGACTTTGTGGCCATTGCTTTTACAGGAGGAAGTTGATGCTGGAGCAATCATTTTCCAAGAGGCAGTTCCAGTCAAGCTTGGCGACACAGTGGAGACCCTGTCTGAAAGGGTGAAGGAGGCCGAGCACCGAGCCTTCCCAGCTGCCCTGCAGCTCGTCGCCAGTGGGGCCGTACGGGTGGGGGAAGCTGGAAAGATCTACTGGAAGTAGGAGCAGCATCTCCATGAAGGTCCTCAGATAGGGCAACTGGGGTGCCTTAACTGGTCAAAACAGAGGTCACAGCCTAACAAGATGCACAATATATTCTCTTCACAAAGTGTTTTCAACGTAGAGTTTACCATGTCATGTTCTCACTCAGATGGTTAAAGATTTGAAGTAAAATCCAGAGAAAGCCACAAATGAGAATATTCAGGCAGGGGACTGTTCTCAGTAGGTTCAGCAATGGCTCTGTTACGTGCTTCCTAATTGTAATCACTTCCTTGGCTAACATTTTGGTTCTCAATCACTTTCTTAACACACAAAAAACCATTCAGTTAGTTACAGAGAGATCTGAGCATCTCTGAGATGGACTTAGGAACATCAGTATTACTCTCTAACAGACCATACAGGCTGTAACAGGGGATTCTCTTGTCATGTGCTCTGAAGTGTTTATGAGGAAAACTACTGGAACTCGTTCCGTGGAAGAGACAGCTAAAGGCAAAAACCTGTACTCATCAAAATCTCTAGCCAAAGCAAGAAAAACTGGCCTCCCAAAACACTAACTGTTCCTGCAGCTAATGAAATGGAACTTTTCCCATATAGTTTCTGTTTTAATGTTGGTAGATCTTGTCTGGCCCAGATTCTCTAGACATATCCCATAATTTCAAGTATCAGACCAGCTATCAATCAGATGCTAAATAGAATTAAACACCTGCTGACCATTTGCCTTTGCAGCATCCCCATGTGAATCCACATATTAATTCCCCTTGGAGATTTGTTCAGAGCCAAAAGAGTTGGGTTAGTTTTTGGGTTTGTTTTTTGTTGGGGTTTTTTTTGCAATGAGCAGGAAGGGAGTTAGGACCAGCTACAAAATTTGTTCTTGGCTGAACAGAAATTCTGCTGAAGTTAAGTGCCTTTATTCTTGGAAAAGTATTTTCACCTGGAAAAATACTGATGGAAACCCAGTAAATGTTGTTCTTTTGCACAGCTGAGCTCTTGTGGAAAAGCACCTGGTTTCCTTTTAATGTTTTTCATAGCTGTGAAGACATTTTGATGCATTTAGTAAAGCAATCAATTTTCCCCCACACGAACCAGAAGCATATGACTGAAGCCGATTATGTATGTTTTAGAGCTCCCCTTTAATACAGAGGAAGCTGACTGGTATTCTGTGCACTGCCGTCCTTATGGTACTTCTGTGTTGAGGTAATCCTAATTTGTATTTGAAATAAAGGCTAATAAAGTTGAAAATTAAATATCAAAAGCTTTTCTTGGGATTCCTTTACTAGGGGTATGAGCTGGAGGAGGAGTTTGTGAAATGGAATCTAACTTGGTCTACAGTACAGCAACTGTCAATCAGTTTGTGAGGTGACAGACATCCAGTCCTGCCAGAGTTAGTAAAGCTCCGTGGAGTGTGGTGACCTTACTGCTTCAGTGGCCAGATGGTCCGTGATGAAGAAACTTGCTGACAAAATATTCCTGTCATCATTTGTCACCAAGGATAAAGCTCAAGCAAATACAGAGGAAAATGACATGGTCAAATTTAATTTGCATCTAAAGGGCAAATAATAAAAGCTAAGTCTTCAGCCCAGCGTTTCTCCTTACAAACCTGTCCTCCCACAGAAGGGCCTCCCCCCAGGCAAACCGCCGCCAAGGCCTGAAATCCAGCCTGTCTCAGGGAGAATGTAAAAGATGCGGGGAGCCTCCAGCTCTGGCAGGGGTTCAGTCTGCACAAGTTCAGCGCCTTCACCATGACACAGCAAACCGGTCACAGGGCAAAAGAAACTACTTAAATTAACTCACACGTTAGAAGTAGCCAGATTACTCCCTGTACAGTTAATAAATACAGCATTACTGATAAAAGCAGTTTGATTGCTGCCAGAAAGGCAAAGAGCGGAAGAGCTGGATGCTCCAAATCCAGGACCCCATTCCATCACAGACAGCTTCAGCAAGACTCGGGTATTTTGTCACCTAAGACTGATGACAAATGGGATTTAAGCACCTATCTGTATTTCTACAAACGCAAACAAGAAATTAAACTGCGAAGTGCACCTCAGACTGCTTTGCTTCAATTACTGTTGTATAAAAGGAATAAATAGCCTATCAGCACACCCAGTCTCGGAGGGATGCCAGGGACGCAGTTAGAGAGAGTTGCTCGATACCATGGTGGTATCTGGTGACCAATAACAATAACTGGCACTTTTAACATTTTATTTGTGAAGTTTGGAACATTCAGTCACGCGTGCTCTGCAATTCAAATAATACACAACATGAAGTTACTACACAGTTACAACAGATCGAAAGCAAACTAACCGATGTGTTATCAGAAAAATTATCTCTATATACACCAGACATTTGTTAATTTTGCCTTATTTCTCCCAGATCATGACAAATGCATGTTCCTTGCTGCAGTCGCTGGAGTGCAAGAGTCAAACACAGCTTTCTGTACATAAATGGCAGAGCTTACAGGAGGGCACTGAATTTTTCTCCCCTCCCTAACTACTGAAACACCACTAGCACACACACACACAAAAATTAGATGTTTTAACTGGAGCTGCCTCATGCTCCCAAACAGCCTGACACAGCCAAATGCAAGATACATAAGATAGTCCCTTACTAGTACAGTACATGTTACACCAAAACAGGAGTGCTTTTTTTTCACTGCATCTGATGGCTATTAGTGATCCCTTCCCTGGAAAATTCAGCTCTAGCTGCTTCCTCTCTAGTTTGTTCAAGTAGCTTCTCAGCTAGCTTTCTTCCTCTGATTTGGTACTTGCATGCAAGTCATTACTCTGGAGATATAAAATAAGCTTCCACAGAAAAAGGTTTTATTTAACAGCAGCAACTCTAGACCAAGCCAATCACTCAGTCAACAAAGAAAACAGCTTTCCTGCTACTGGAAGTTAAGCTGAGGATGTCTTGTTCTGCTGATTTCGAGGATGAAGGAGAAAAAAAAGTCTGAAATCAGGTGTTTCTAGTCCCTGTAATCAAATTTTCATCCCTCAAGATCCAAATGTTTTAATATGAAATCTGGGAGTGTTGATGAGCCACCCCCTTTCAAGGAGCAGAGGAAAGTGTCTAGATGTATGTTCAGTACGCACTGCTACATCATATTGACAACTAAGCTGTGCAGATGAATTTGTTTTGCCTTCTAAAGGTTCCCTGCCTCTTTGGCCTTTGGCTCTTCTCCTTGGCAGACTCTGGCTCTCACACTGGTGAACTTCTACATGCCCTCCTCTCCTCTGTACCCTGAGGTGCTCCCACGGTGGTGGGGCTCACAAGGATGAGGTCCGTGTGGGCTCCCACCTCCTCCCACAGAACTACACATCGTCCCTAATGCTTGTTCATCCTCCAAAAACCACATTGGGCCAGGCTGGACCTCACTTCTGATCTGCCCTGACATGTCTGGCCTCTTCCATCCAACAGGAGCTGGTCACCTTCTTGCAGCAGCATGGCTCCTGATTGTGGTTGCTTTGTGAAGCTCTTGGTGCTCTGCAATGTGATGCAGCCAACAAAACCTGATCCCTCAGAAGAATTAATTTCCCTTTGATGCACTAGACCATTTTTTACAGCTTAAGCTCCCTCTTTGATTTGTAACAGTATCTCCTTTACAGATGAAAAAACAGAACAAAGAAATTTAAAATCTGAAATCATAGCTTGGCTTCCACCACCAGTTTTGCAAAAGGAGTGCAAGGAAAGCTGCAAGCTCGGGGAAAAGGATCATGGCTCAGAATGGAAACCTGTGACACTGATACGCCTGCAGTCAGAGAGCAGCACATCCCGGGCAGGGAGGAGGAGGGAAAGGTCAGCAGAGACCAAGCTGCTCATTAACCTGGCTACACCACACTGTCTTCTTGAGGCTCCAGAGCCAGGAGGGAGGACGTGCAGTCTCTCTTCTCTTCTTGAAGACAAAGACTTTGGCTCTCTTGTTTCCAGTAGGTTTTACCATCAGCTCCTAACTGCACTGCTCCACTGGCCACCAGCTGCAGGGCGATGGGAAAAGCCCGGCACTCGGCTTCTTTCACCCTTTCTGACAGTGTCTCCTCTGTGTCGTCGGCCTTCACAGACACCGGCTCCTGGTGGATCACTGCTTTTGGGCTAGACTCCTCCTAGAATGGGGATATTGGCAGCCTTTCAGAAGAGGCTGGGTAACACTCTCAGCAAGGTTATGGACAATGGGAATGGGGCAGAGAAAGTCTCATGAGGGATCTCATCGAGCCCATCTGTAGTTGTGTGCAGGAGGCTGACAGTACATCTGGAGAGGCTTACAACCTCCACTGGGGTACCTACACTCATTAGAGGGTACAGCGGGGAGACAGACACAGGCTAGAAGATTTGAGGGCAGTTTGCTGAGGGTAGGAGAAATAAAAAACATAATATGAAGGAAGAAGACAGGACCTCAATAAACCACAAATGCAATGTAACCCCCACACCTTCCTGTTTTTACTGGTAACAATCCCAAGATCTCCACACATTCCTGTTACCTCTTCCTGTTTCTGCCTTCAGAAAGAAAAGAAAAAAGCAAATTCTTTTTCATAAATTACTCTATATTAGGACACTTACCAGGACAAAATGCACGGTGCAGCCTGTGACTTTGAATCCACTTTGCAGGGTTTGCTGATGGGTGTTTCCATCCTTGATTGGTGGGAAAAGTGAAGGGGAAGCATTCAAAATTTTTCCTAGGCATCAGTGTGAGAAAAAAAAAATTTAAAAAAATTTGAACTAAATTTCCTTTAAAAGTAAAAGTGAGATGTGATCATCAGTTCAAAACAACAACACTGAGCACCACTCAGGAGTTTAAATGGTCTCAACTGCAGCCTGAATGTAACATGGCGTGTTCAGCTTCAGGTTAAAAAGCAAGAGATATGTATGGTGCTACTATCTCTAAGGAAATGTGAGGAGGCGTTCTCTGCTCTGAGGAAATACTGCTCTTCCAGGAACACAGGTGAGGGGGTGCAGGCTTTGGCAGTAGCCAGGCAAGCATGTTTCAGTTAAGGCCATTTGCTTTTGTGTCT